TAAATTGTAACTATGAAATGTGACTAACAAATTGCCTGCCTTTAAATTTGATGCTATGACTTTCTCTGCTTTTTAAATGACAATGTAATCAATATATGTCTTTGAAATAAAACTCATTCCGAGTATGTACTTACAATGTTTACTAATGCAAACTTGTTCTCGTCACTATATGGCTGGAAAATGCCGATGTGACGTAAAAGCTCCAACTCAAGTCAACTCAACTTTGTTAAAAATGCTATAGTAAATAAACAACATGCTGTATCGATATTCTTTGACCTCGAGAAAGCATACGATACTACCTGGAAGCGTGGCATTTTGAAGGATTTACATGATTTTGGTTTAAGGGGTCGTTTACCTCTTTTTTTCTTATCTCACAGTTTTTTAAGAGACAGGCACTTTAAAGTCCGGAGTGGGTTCAACCCTGTCTGACCATTACAATCAGGATCTGGGTGTCCCACAAAGTATTTTGTCTGTCACAGTATTTTGTCAAGATCAACTTTATTTAAATATCAAGATCAACAGTGTCTTGTCGCGGTAAGAATATGCATACTATTGAACGGCAACTACAGTTGTGTTTAAACAAACTACATAAATGGTGTCTTGAAAACGGCTTTTAAATTTTCTACATCGAAAACTAATTGTAGCAACATTTCTGACGTAAATACAAACCTCATAAAGACCCATAACTATTTCTCAATGGAACACCCATCAATGTGGTCAAGGAGGCCAAGTTCTTGGGTATTATTTTCGACTCCCATTTAACTTTTCTTCCGCATATTAAATCCTAAAAACATAAATGCCTGAAGGCACTGGATTGTTAAAGAGTTGTTTCCAATTCAAAGTGGGGAGGGGATCAAGCTACCCTCCTACATTTATACCGATCATTGGTCCGGTCCAAACTTGATTACGGCTCCATCGTATATGGTGGAGCTTGCAAAGAGCATAACCTAACATTACTTGATTCTGTCCACCATCAAGGCCTCCGACTTTGTATTTGGTCTTTCAGAACTTTCCTGTTGACAGTCTACGTCGAGGCTGATGAGCCATCACTTAATCAACGTATCAAATTAGCCTTACAATATATTACACAAAACTACATGCTAACGAGTCTAACCCTGCTTATAAATGTGTCTTTAATCCTCTTTATAGAGGATTTGTATAACAAGAAACCTTCTCTTGTTCCGCCTCTAGGGCAGAATTAGGTATTATTACTGCTGCCGGCATTGAGCTGGAAACTACATCTCCTCCTCGTCTTTCTTTTCTCCTCCTTGGCAAATGGTGAGGCCTGAAGTTGACCTAACTATGACCAAGTTTAAGAAATCTGAAACTAATGAATTGCAATACAAACAAGAATATAATCAATTAAAAATAAATATAATACATACAAATCCTTATTTACAGAAGGGTCCAAGGATGGTGGCGCGGTGGCATGTGCCACTGTCACTGGATCCCGAACAATATCTTCTCGACTACCAAACAACATTTCCATTTTCACCGCTGAAGCCAAAGCTATCTTCTCAGCTTTGACCTACATTCAACAGCAAAAACATTCCAAAAACTTCATCGTTTTACAGATTCATTATCCTGCCTTCAAGCACTTCAAAATGTTACTTCAAGTCACCCAATCATCCTGGACATATTAGAACTTTACAACGACCTTTCTACTGGCCAATGTGACATCGTCCTCTGCTGGTTGTCGGGTCACGTCGGCATAGCAGGTAACACCAAGGCCGATGCTGCAGCAAAAGCAGCTCTTGACAAGCCCCTATCTCCACTGCTAATCCTGTACAGTGATTGCAAACCCACTATCAAAAGCTATACTCGGGACCTGATGCAAAAAAGGTGGGACACTCAAGTAGGAAGAAACAAACTCCATGAATCGAATCCAACAATCAGTTATACCTACTTGGGTTGTCAGTCAAGACGTGATGAGGTAATTTTACGACGATGTCGTATTGGCCACAGTCGATTTACACATGACTTTCTGCTGAAAACGGATGGGGATGGACCCCCACGTGAGCGCTCATCTGATAGTGAACTACCTGAGGGAAGTTGATCTGTATCATAAATTGTAACTGCAAAATGTAACAACCATAAATTGTCACTATGAAATGTGACTAACAAATTGCCTGCCTTTAAATTTGATGCTATGACTTTCTCTGCTTTTAAATGACAATGTAATCAATATATGTCTTTGAAATAAAACTCTTTCCGAGTATGTACTTACAATGTTTACTAATGCAAACTTGTTCTCGTCACTATATGGCTGGAAAAATGCCGATGTGACGTAAAGCCCAACTCAAGTCAACTCAACTTTGTTAAAAATACTATAGTAAATAAACAACATGCTGTATCGATATTCTTTGACCTCGAGAAAGCATACGATACTACCTGGAGGCGTGGCATTTTGAAGGATTTACATGATTTTGGTTTAAGGGGTCGTTTACCTCTTTTTATCTCACGGTTTTTAAGAGACAGGCACTTTAAAGTCCGAGTGGGTTCAACCCTGTCTGACCATTACAATCAGGATCTGGGTGTCCCACAAGGCAGTATTTTGTCTGTCACTTTATTTAGTATCAAGATCAACAGTTTATCCAAGGTTTTAAATGATTCAATCGATGGATCACTTTTTTGGATGATTTTAACATTTCTTGTCGCGGTAAGAATATGCATACTATTGAACGGCAACTACAGTTGTGTTTAAACAAAATACATAAATGGTGTCTTGAAAACGGCTTTAAATGTTCTACATCGAAAACTAATTGTATACATTTCTGACGTAAATACAAACCTCATAAAGACCCATAACTATTTCTCAATGGAACACCCATCAATGTGGTCAAGGAGGCCAAGTTCTTGGGTATTATTTTCGACTCCCATTTAACTTTTCTTCCGCATATTAAATCCCTAAAACATAAATGCCTGAAGGCACTGGATTGTTTAAAAGTTGTTTTCAATTCAAAGTGGGGAGGGGATCAAGCTACCCTCCTACATTTATACCGATCATTGGTCCGGTCCAAACTTGATTACGGCTCCATCGTATATGGTGGAGCTTGCAAGAGCAACCTAACATTACTTGATTCTGTCCACCATCAAGGCCTCCGACTTTGTATTTGGTCTTTCAGAACTTCTCCTGTTGACAGTCTCTACGTCGAGGCTGATGAGCCATCACTTAATCAACGCCGTATCAAATTAGCCTTACAATATATTACAAAACTACATGCTAACGAGTCTAACCCTGCTTATAAATGTGTCTTTAATCCTCTTTATGAGGATTTGTATAACAAGAAACCTTCTCTTGTTCCGCCTCTAGGGCTAAGAATTAGGCCATTCATTACTGCTGCCGGCATTGAGCTGGAAAATATGTCTCCTCCTCGTCTTCTTTCTTCTCCTCCTTGGCAATTGGTGAGGCCTGAAGTTGACCTAACTATGACCAAGTTTAAGAAATCTGAAACTAATGAATTGCAATACAAACAAGAATATAATCAATTAAAAAATAAATATAATACATACAAATCCTTATTTACAGAAGGGTCCAAGGATGGTGGCGCGGTGGCATGTGCCACTGTCACTGGATCCCGAACAATATCTTCTCGACTACCAAACAACAGCTCTATTTTCACAGCAGAAGCTAAGGCCATATTAACAGCTCTTCAATATATTAATACAGACCGTAAATATAAAGAATACATAATATTTTCCGATTCTCTTTCCTGTCTTCAGGCTATTAAAACTCTTTCTTGTAAACACACACTTTTAATAGAGTTTATTGAATTGTATAATGAGCTTGCTACTGGCCAATGCGACATCGTCTTTTGTTGGTTACCCAGCCACGTTGGCATTTCTGGGAATACAATGGCCGATCTTGCTGCAAAGGCAGCACTCAACAAATCTGTGACACCACTTCTTATTCCTTACTCTGATTACAAAGCTAGGATTAGAACTTACATGCGCGATCTGATGCAGAAGAAGTGGGACACCCAAGTAGGTATTAATAAATTATATGAAATAAAACCCTATATTGGTTACACCTACTTGGGTTGTCAGTCCAGATTTGAAAAGGTCATCATGCGACGATGTCGTATTGGCCATACAAGGTACACTCACAAATATTTGTTAAAAGGTGAAGATCCTCCGTTTTGTATCCCTTGTGATGAGAGAGTCACAGTCAAGCATCTCCTGCTTGACTGTGTTGAATTCTCCATCATAAGGGATAAATATTTCAATGTTAAAACTGTTAAGGATCTTTTTAATTCTGTTCATCTTCATTTAATTCTTGCTTTTTTAAAAGAAATTGATTTCATTAATGAATTTTGATAAATATGTTCTGTAGATAGATGTGTTTTAATGATTGGTAGTGTAGATTATCAGCTTAGATTGTTAGTGGCTGTATCCTCGAAGGGGGTTGAAGTAGCGTAAAATTATTGTCCTCCTGAGAGGGTACGTAAGTCCCAAAAACTTTCAAAGTAAAATTTTCACGTCCTGTGTTTTTAAACGTAGTATTCTTGTCATTTTAATTTGTGGTTAAATTTTCCGACAATCGCCAACAGCTGAAGGGATGGTGTAAATCCAGCTAGGGTCCCTGCAGGTAGCAAAAGTAATGTAAGTCCCCATGGTTCCTACTATGGTGATCTACCTTCAGTTGTTGGCGATCTATAGCCCGTTTTTATATTGTATTGTCTTCGTAAATAAAATAGTTTTACATGTTCATGCTAGTTTCAGACTCCATCTGTGATACTCTAGTTATTTTACAGTCCTTCGATGACTGATTATTTAGCAACTTTAATTTATTGTTTCTGTAAAACATTTCTCGTCACTATATGGCTGAAATATTGCCGAGGTGACGTTAAATTCTAACTCACTCACTCACTCACTCTCCACACACTGGTAGACTGCACGGATCAGATGGCTTTTTCCAGTGCCAACCTCTCCACTTAGGAAGACATAAAAGGGGTCAGGAGCAATGTCTAGAAGTTTCATTTGAACGGACCAGTCATGGATTAGAAATCAAACATGTCTCTCTGCTTCTGGTTGAAGGTTGATACAAGGGCAAAGTAGTCTTCCTCAGGCATTAGTGAGATATTTCTCTCAACTTGGAAATGTCGAGTTTGGTTCTCCTCTTGTAGATTGCTGAGGTTGCTGGGATCAGTTCCTGCATACTGAGAGTCCATGACATCATAATTATCCCCCGCAACGCGTTTTGCGGGGGTTATTAAAATGGACTCCGTCCGTCCGTGCACATTTGTCTTTGCCGGAGCAGAACTCTAAAACCGTTCACTATTTCATCACCAAACTTAGCACATAGATAGATGTGGTGGTGTACTGGTGCCTTTTGGTAGTTTTGGAATTCTGAATAAAATATTTTTGGCGTTTCCATGGCAACAAGTTCGACTTAGACTGAAATTGGTGGTTGTGCTCTTTTCCGGAGTAGAACTCTAAAACCATTCACTATTTCTTCACCAAACTTGACACATAGATAGATCTGGTGGTGTACTGGTGCCTTTTGGTAGTTTCTGAATTCTGAATAAAATATTTTTGGCATTTCAATGGCAACAAGTTTGACTGAAATTGGTGATAGTGCTCCTTTCTGGAGCAGAACTTTCAAAACCTTTCAGTATTCTCCTTCCACTTTTCTATATATACACACCTAAATATTTGACATAATCATAACTCGTAGACATAATCATGAAGAGTATTTTGCCATTGCCGGGGATATTGATGACTTTGTCTTCTTGTTTTCGTGAAGATCCTGTTCCCTTTCTCCAGCAAGCTCATCCCACATGTCAACTTGTACATCTTCAGGGTTGAAGTCGTCTAGAATGTCTTCTACTTGTTCTGTAAATGGTTCATACTTCTTGATAGTACAACTAATGAGATCACAAACTTCCTTAAATCGGGATTCATATGATCCATTAGGCGTTGTATTCGTAATGGATCTTTCAAGTGACTTGCACTGACAGATGCTTGTGGCTGTTTTGCGAAGAGTGATGCTGAGATTACTTTTCAATGATAGGACTTCCTGCCAATGCAGAGCCTGGAATATGTACTGAGTACTTTCACCAAACCTCCCATCAATGGAGAGTAAGCGGTTGTTGATGTATTTTGTGGGGGGTCGAGGGAACAGTGCGAGGAGACACTGGATTTGCAAATGTATTCTTGCCATCAGGGAAAAGTACAGGGAAGGCCATTACTTCCCAGTTGGGTTCTGTTGAAATTGAGACGGGTCGACTCCCTTCACCTGGGGCAATATTGATGATTTTGTCTGTGCTTATTTCTGGACCATAGGCTGGATGCATGCAGGTGAATTTGCTATTCACCGATCTTGTCTGATTCATTACAGTCTGAAACTCCTCAGGTTTCTGAGCTTCCACCTCATCTTCACTGCCTATCACCTCACTGTCTGAGACAGAATCATCTTCATCTTCCTTGAGGTCTTCAGATGTAGCTGCTGCCCATGTTTCAGGATCTGAATCACGGCTTTGCTGTTCCCAGAACTCATTCACAGTAACATCTGCAGTCGAAGTGTATGATTTACTCTTGATGGATTGATAAATTGTTTGTGGACTGCTTGTGTGTCTGATAAACTTCTCTTCAAAGCTAATGTAATTACTCCAGAATTTGGGATAGCTCTTGGGAGAGTAGTCATTATCTTATTGAGATCAGCTGGAACAAGAACAACTGATCCCTTCAGTCCGTGTTGTGCACCCCGTGGTTTCAAAACTATTTTCATCAACGGAAGAATCTTGGCAATTAAATGTGATTCAACTAATGACAACTTTGCCATTTCTTCTGGTATGGAACACAAATTTAAGTTGTTAGCTTGAGACTGACACGGCATTTTTCCCTTGCGAAGAGAAGTATGGCAAGAATTGCAAACCCACTGCTTTCCATCCATGTCTGTAATGTTTGTGATCCACTTGCTGACAAGATCCTTGGCACTGCAATTGTGCCTATAATGTACAACCGACCTCCTGTACATAGCACAATGACAACGGGCACATGGATATACAGGTCCAGATGAAATGGCTTGTTAGAAATTTCTCAGTGAATCTAGGGCAAATGGAGTAAGGTAAGGGGTGCTTTGATTTACTGCCTGTTGTTGCCTAATCCTGTTGAGAGATTCTTTTCTTTGAATTTTTTTCTTAGTTCGATCACTCCTGAGTCTTTCTGCTTTCTCTTCCTCAGTCATGTTACTATCCTGCTTTTGTCTCACGTCTTTTTTCCTTAAACTTTTACTCCTGAGTCTTTTTGCTCTCTGCTCCTCATTCATGTTACTATTCTGTTTTTCTCTCACGTCTTTTATTCTTGAACGTTCACTCTTGTGTCTTTTTGCTCTCTGCTCCTAATTCATGTTACTATCCTGTTTTTCTCTCACGTCTTTTATTCTTGAACGTTCACTCTTGTGTCTTTTTGCTCTCTGCTCTAATTCATGTTACTATTCTGTTTTTTCTCTCACGTCTTTTATTCTTGAACGTTCACTCTTGTGTCTTTTTGCTCTCTGCTCCTAATTCATGTTACTATCCTGTTTTTCTCTCACGTCTTTTATTCTTGAACGTTCACTCTTGTGTCTTTCTGCTCTCTCCTCCTCATTCATGTTACTATCCTGTTTTTCTCTCACGTCTTTTATTCTTGAACGTTCACTCTTGTGTCTTTTTGCTCTCTGCTCCTAATTCATGTTACTATCCTGTTTTTCTCTCACGTCTTTTTTCCTAAAACGTTCACTCCTGGGTTTTTCTGCTCTCTCCTCCTCATTCATGTTACTATCCTGTTTTTCTCTCACGTCTTTTATTCTTGAACGTTCACTCTTGTGTCTTTTTGCTCTCTGCTCCTAATTCATGTTACTATCCTGTTTTTTCTCTCGTCTTTTATTCTTGAACGTTCACTCTTGTGTCTTTCTGCTCTCTCCTCCTCATTCATGTTACTATCCTGTTTTTCTCTCACGTCTTTTATTCTTGAACGTTCACTCTTGTGTCTTTTGCTCTCTGCTCCTTATTCATGTTACTATCCTGTTTTCTCTCACGTCTTTTTCCTAAAACGTTCCTCCTGGTTTTTCTGCTCTCTCCTCCTCATTCATGTTACTATCCTGTTCTTCTCTCACGTCTTTTATTCTTGAACGTTCACTCTTGTGTCTTTTTGCTCTCTGCTCCTAATTCATGTTACTATCCTGTTTCTCTCTCACGTCTTTTTTCCTAAAACGTTCACTCCTGTGTCTTTCTGCTCTCTCCTCCTCATTCATGTTACTATCCTGTTTTTCTCTCACGTCTTTTATTCTTGAACGTTCACTCTTGTGTCTTTCTGCTCTCTCTTCCTTTGTCAAATTGCTGGCTTTGTTCTGTCTATAAGCTCTTAATCTGGTTCTCTCACGATCAAGTTTTTCTTCTCTATCAACATGAGTTATCTTAGAGTCCATTTTGAATCAATAAGCTCTCTTCCTGGCAGCCTCAGTAGATTTCCTTGAACAGTCATATGACTGTGATCATGACGTGTTCTCATTTCACACTTTCTTCTCCTCTTACTCTGATCTGCAAAATACTTCTGCATGTTTGCTGAGCAATGAAATAGGTTTGCCATAGACTTGGCCTGTATGTCAGCTAGAGTCCACTCCTCTATGATGGTGATGTCTCTTCTTGATGTGCTAATATCAATTTTAATAGCCACTGGTGTACATTCGTACAGAGCTTGTGGCTGTCCTAGACTTGCAGCCAAATATTTTCAAAACTCCACACACTGAATCTATCCTTACACATCTAAGCAACACACTAGTTCCCATCGCGACACACAGTCCTTGAGGATCTCTTGAATGGGAATCAAAGATGATAAATTCACGTTGTGAACATTGGATGATGGCCATTGTATAAGATCGAACAGTAATAAAAACAAAGCTTGCCTGAAGGAAGCTAGTTTGGAGTGCATCATCAATTGAAAAGTATGGTGCACTACTTTGAGATAAGTTCATACATCCACTGAATGCTGGGAAAACATTAATTTTGAAATCATTGTTATTTATAGGAGACTGTAGTAGGAAGCTCAGTTATTAACAAATAGTGTTCACTCCTAACAACATCCAAGTAAAGTCCAGATCTATGGCAAATCACTGAATCCAATGATTGTCTTGTCCATGTGGAGACATCAGGTACAAGGAGGAAGTTTAAGAAGAACACAAAGCTTGTACATGTGCATTGTTTTCCAGCTGCTGCACCCAACTTAGGGTGTCCTAGGTGATGTGTCCCTCTCTCAATGCATTGCACTGAGCTGGAAACTGGTGGGAGCTATGTTTGAAAATGATGTCTGAAAACAATGGAGAAAGCAATAAATTATGAATGCAACATGCAGTAAACTCAATTTTGAAAAGTAAATTAAGTAGGTTCGTTTAAATACATTTATCACCGCAAACATTGAACATATTTTACCTTTTCAAAATTATCATTTGTCGTTTTTGCCTTTGAATCTCCCTTGCTCGTGCAGCTCGTTTTGCTGGGCTCTGGTGTTTTGTTCTCTTTATGAATTATATTTGGCTGGAAATAAATAAGAAGTATTTATTTGTGAAAACTGAAACAAGTGATGAATGTAGCATAACACATAAATGGAAGTAGATCACAGACCCGATGAGAAAACACAAAAAAATGTATCGTTTTGTTAACTATTTGAAATGCTACTTGATGACTTATTATTGATAATATGGATGTAAGAAATGTATATGAGACATATACTCACCTTCCTGGGAAAGGAATCTTGCTGTATGATGGGTGTCTCTGTGCATCATTCTGAAAAGAAAAGTTTCATTTATTCACTAAAAAACAACCAAAAAAAATAACATAATACTGACTGTCAATCAGCCCTTTCTTCTAACATTAATATCGAAGTGAGAGTGCTATGTTGGAAAGTTTTTTATTGGAAAATTCTGATATTGTAGATTGCAAATTAATCCAGAAATAATTACAGAAGTAATAACTGTATATGGGACTGAACTGTATTTTGATATAGTTATTTTGAAGGCATTAGAGTACTACATATGGTATATAATTCACACTTGGCTTTAGATACTGCGACCCGTGAAGATCCGGGGTAGAATAGGTCTTCAGCAACCCATGTGCTTGCCATAAAAAGGCGACTATCTTGTCGTAAGAGGCGACTAACGGGATCGGGTGGTCAGTTTCGCTGACTTGGTTGACACATGTCATCGGTTCCCAATTGCGCAGATCGATGCTCATGCTGTTGACCACTGGATTGTCTGGTCCAGACTCGATTATTTACAGACCGCCGCCATATAGCTGGAATATTGCTGAGTGCGGCGTAAAACTAAACTCACACACTCACTCACTTTAGATACTGCAAAATGGTTGTGTCTTCTATGTGCTACAACTCAGGGTAAAAGTAATATAAATTAGGATCATGAATTGCGACTTAAGTAAATATTGATATTTAATTATTAATAATAATATTTTAAATACTATTTATGACTCAGATATACCTAAAACTATTACTAGCATTAAAAAATGAAGTAAAGAAATGGAAATCTACACCCAGCAACCAAGATTAACGTAAGAGTTAGGTAAATATAAAATACAATAACATGCTTGTTAACATTGACAGGCTGTGTTCACGAATGCATATTTTGTAAACATTTCTAAGAAGAAAAAAACTGAGAAAAGAATGTCTCCATGACTCTCATGATCCACATAACATGAAATATCTCCATGTCTCTCATTATTCATATAAAAAGAAATGTCTTAATGTCTCTCATGATTCCTATTAAATGATATGTCTCTCATGATTCACATCAATGAAATGTCTCTCATGATTCATATAAAATAAAATGTCTTAATGTCTCTCATGATTCATATAAAATTAAATGTCTTAATGTCTCTCATGATTCATATAAAATTTAATGTCTCTCATGATTCACATAAAATGAAATGTCTCTCATGATTCACATAAATGAAGTGTCTCCATATGTCTCATGATTAAAATGAAATGTCTCCATGTCTCTCATGACTTATTTGAATCCTTGGCACTGACATCCTCATCCTGTACACTGGAAGTAGATGATGTCTGCTGTGCCTGCTGTTCTGGTAGTGCTTGATGAGTTCTTTCCATCTTCAAATGTTTCAGAAAATGTAACATCATACTTTTTTATCTGCTCTTGCAGATATTGGACAGACTTTTCCTTTGCATTCGTCCTCTGGGTAAGTGTGTGAGATGACCGTTGCAAGGAGTCCAGTTCAGCTTTAAGAACAGATCCTCCTTTGAGTAGGAGCATTGATGCGGCTCTTGTTTGTGGGGGCTGAAGCTCAAGCAACCTGGCTGAGCCGCCAATGTATTCATCAACCTTTTGCATTTGAGTTCATCAATTTGTTGATCTAGGTTGGAACAGGTTCCTTCAAAGAGATGCTAAAGAAGCACCAGGCGTGTCCTCATCCATCCTGGACATCTTGCTAGGAGTTGGTGATGACAATGGTGTGTGTGATGACATGATTGGAGTGAGTGACACAAGGAATCTATTCTACAACGTGGTTAGCTACAACAGAAGAAAGGGCATGTGGATGGTGCTGCAGTTGTAAATGAGCAATGGAAATGTGTTAATTTGCTATCATCTGCATAGCAAATCTGCTATAATTGGATAGTTTACTGTTTCAAGTTGCATGACTTGATTAACCGTCATGTGAATACTGGCAATATCTAGATATTCATAATAAAAATTAAATACAAAATATCAGTCAAAGTGAAATTAGATCAAACTATAGATCTAGTTTAACTTTTGTCAATTATCCACAGCACAGAATCTAATAAATGAACACAAATCATGTAACTAGAGCTACCACACTGCACAAGCATCTGGAAGGGAAGCCATTATGTGAAAGCAGAGGGACAAGCAATAAAAACAATACACTAAAACACACACCACGCAAGACCAACCACCATGGATGCTTCTATATATGTATCTGAAAGCTTTGTATGTACATAGGGTTCACTGAAGTTAAAAATGTTAGCAATGATCGAACTACTCACAACATTCAATTCTTATTGAGATGAGGGAATAATTAGTAGAGATTGTGAATAATTAGTAGTTTTTTTTCAGTTGAAACACGAATTCTATATACATAATTAAAGAGTAAATCATATTTTAGATGGCAAAGCAGTGAAAGGACAACATGCATAAGTTTTGAAAATTACCATCAAGTGAGTCGATAAATATTCTGCAAAAAAATACATAAATTAGTAACTGGTAATTTAGCCATGGAAAGGTACATATCAAGGTAAAACATTAGATTGAAATATTTCTTAAAATTCTATTTGACGTTCATAGGTGAATACAGACAACAATTAAGAAAATGTAGTTCTCTCATTGTTAATCTTACTTGAGGTGGTACAGTTACTAATGTAGTTTTCCATGTTACCGGTGGTACCACGTGGAGGTATTACCACTGCAGAGACATGCACATATTTAGTACGAGACCATTTTATTAAACATTTCTAAAAATGTCTATGAAACATTGTTACCTCATTGTTTAAATACAAGTGACATATCAACATCAGCTTTCAGCTTTAAAATCCATTTTTTTAAATAAATAAAATAGTGCATATCTCTGACACAATGTATTTTAGAATAACAAAATACTTTACGTGGCCGGTAAATGATACTGAAACACTAATTCATTCGATACTGCATTATTATTTCTTTACTCTTGACCGGCCCGAGGTTTGAATTGACATGAAAACTGTATATTGTATTCTGAAATACACTGTTACCACCATTAAACCCTCGCATTAAATAGCATTAAACAGAAATCATTTAGTCACTTACCAAGGATCTCTAAGTTCAGTTGAGAATGAAGGCTGCATATTTCCGAAAGTGACATCAATGCCAAGCATCAAAGAACACGCTTGCTATCGGGTGTAACGGTTCATGGGATATCGCGTTAACAAGAGTTGGAAAAGTGGTCAAAGTGTCAAGGTCACGCAAATCCACTGGTGTCTGCGTAATCCCCCAATGTAGGCTGACACCAAATTTGAAGACATTGCGTACAACAGTTCATGAGATATCGCGTTAACAAGAATCGGGACGTACGGACGGGCGCTGCTGAATACATAGTCCCCCGTTCCGCGCTGCGGCGGGGGACAATAAATGCCAGGCTGGTTCGGCCTATGACATCATTCCCAAGAATCACAGATTTCAGAGGTCTAATACCACCAGATTGGCCCGTGAGCCACCGCCTTCTGGCATAGGACTAGGCAATTTTAAGTTAATCAAAAATTGGTACATTGTAGATCAAAATAACCAGGACCCAATGATAATGTATTGTGCAAACATAGTCACAATGCACAGGGCTTGGCGTGACCAGCCGATTGATAGAACCGGGCCAGTTCTACCACCCGTCTAGGTGAAGTAACGGGCGAAGTAGTGTGTTG